ATAAATTTGTGTTATATATGTCTTTGTATGATTGTGCAGTCTAAAATGGTCCATTGAGTATGTTCAGATGACTGGTGTAGGCTTTTGGTAATTGTGTGTGAGTTTAGACATCCTTGTAGTGAGTTTTTTCTGAAAATGAGTTTAGGTGTCCAATTTTTTTTTATAGAAAATGAATTTAGTTTTGAAACTTATGCCATTAGCTAGCTCTCTATAGACACCAAAATTACCTCAATAGGATGAAGATTTGGGATGCATCAAAAGTTCATCCCTGTGTTGTCATATGATAGCAGAAGTTTGTTGTCAAAAATCATGCAATGTACTGTGGCGTATGATGTCTCGTGAGCCGTGGCATACTTATAGTTAGCCGCGGTGCATGCATTTGGGTTTAATGTAAATGCTTTAGTTTTTCTTGATTCTAATACTTTTGCATTAATTTAAAACTCTGATTTGAGACTATTGAAAGCATATAGGAGTATTTTGAATGTTGAAAATCTTAAGATCCTATTGCAATTATTGAGAATTGTTTCTTCCATTTATTGAATTGGTAAAGCTTAGGTATCCCATTTGTAAAATTTTGTAAATTTATTAATCACATTGATTATGGGAGATTGGGGAGAATTAATAAGGGTAACCTTACTTATCTAACCCATGGAGCTATGTCAGGAGTTTTGATTGCATGAGCAATGGTCTTACAATCAATTTTAACCATTTAGTAAATGATTCCACAAGCTTATTTTGTGTGTGAATATATGCAACAGGATGCTCAAAATCAACATACAATAGTCATTAAAAGCCTAAGATGTAAACTTAACAACATTGTTAAGGCATATTTTATTAATTGAATGATCAGGAAATTAAGCAAGTAATTTCATAAACACCTGATTATGAGATGATAGTAAGCTAACATGTGACCATCTGGTTGACATGTTGATCAAAACCATGAAATATCTAAATGATCTGCATGGTGTGTGAATTGGCTTATAAATATCGCCTTGTATTGTAAGATTGCCTTTACCAATTCATAATTAACTCCAAAATTAAGGTAATCATGGGGCTAACCCAAATGAATTACTAATTTTGTAAAATTACATAAATTGGATCTTAAGTTTTCAAGCTTTCAAAACACTCTAATATATTTTCATAGTAAAAAATCAAAGTAAACTAAGTATACAAAAGCATGTGATACCAAAAGGTTTTAAAGCATTTGCATTAAAGATAAAAAGCCTTAACAATGTGAAAAATTGGAGGTGCACCATGACACATGACTAACGTGCTATGCCACACTACTCTTTGTGCCATGTGGTAGGAGGCATTACATAGTATAATAGTCGTTGTTGCTATCATTTGACTACAATAGGGTTGAATTTCTGATGCACCTTATTTCTCTATTCAAAGTTCGATCAAGGTGGTCTAGTGTCTACATAAAGCTTTCTCCAAGCTCTAACTAATAGCAATAATTTTATATTCAAATTATTTCTCAATCAAAAGTTGAATGCTCATTTTCAAATTCACTCACTTTATAAACAAAACACAACTTGGGTGACCAATTTTTGATTAAGTGCTAAAAGCATACACTTAACCCTAAACCATACTTAATAGACTACGGGATACCTACACCACAACACAATACATGGCACATTTATAATATTTTCCACGCTCAACTCCGTAAAAAGCAAAAATGGAAGGGGGAATCTCAACTATAGAAATCATCACAAAATCATCATTAATACAAATTCACTTGCACTACTATTTTGGCCATTCTTAGATATATCATTAAACTCACATATAATCTGGGGCCACACAATTTAGTCTAAGAATCCATAGTGCAATTGAGTAAAAATATGAAATCTCCTAGTTGGCAATATTATAATGATTTATACACATAATTTTCAAAATGAACGATGCCTGCAATTTAGGATGCATAACCTAAGCCTTGAGCTGTTTCCCTTGATCTTATCCTATTAAGCTAGCTCCTGCAATATTGAAGAGAGATGAGTAAGTACAACCACTCAATAACTAAGGTATATCTAAACTTATATTAGTGCATCTCAATTAATTAGAATGCAAGTAGCATCTTATTATCAAACACATGTCAACTCATCATTCACAAATCTCATTTTCACATTTTACAAACTAATCATACAATTTCACATAAATTCTATCATAAGGGTCACAATACAAACAATCATGTGCCCTTACTAATAGTATTCTTTATTACACCTTCTTATCATTCTTATGCCTCCAATATGAAATCATGAGCTATTACACAAGGGGCTCGTCCATATGATGAGACTACCGTAGCCTTTTAAGAGTGAAAAGTTACTTGACTAAGGTTACTTAACTCACCTGTGGGTCACAGTTTCTCCCAAATCTCATATTATGGGATGTTGTTCTTCATAAACTAGCTTCCTTGTCGAACAAGTGAAAACTAGATTAGATTTAAGTCTCTCAATAAGCTGTGGGACAGTTTCTTGTCAAACAAGTGGGACAAATAATATGAATGTATTAAGGCAAGCCATCAAGTTCTAAATAATGTCTATACCATATGGATTTCAACTTGCTACTTCTCTTCCTAAGCGAACTCTCACCTTACATGATCATGCAATGCACAAGTGCAACAATTCATATCATGCATATAATTCAACATATTTACATACTAAGTAACATTATTGTGCTCCACGCATAGTTAGTTCATAAAACATCACAACTTATCTTGGAACTCCACATCACATCTTGTCATTGAACTTCCTATCACAATATATCATTAAACCACAATTTGATATATACTCACATATTACATATCATCATAGAACTCCTCAATTTAACATTTTTGTCATTGTTTATATAACACACACACACAGAGACATATATATATATATATAATTTCAACAAGCTATTTGTTGTACCGTATTAACTCTACAAATCACATGCTTCATTCATATAACTAATTTTTCAAAAAAATTCAAAGGCCAATATTAACCTATGGCTATTCAAATTTCATATGTCAAACTTGCATTAAACAATTTCACAGGTTTCAAAACAAATGATTATAAACTTCATAACTAATTAACATATATGAGTATAAGAAAGGTTCTCTTGGTTACATTAAATATTTGAGAGACCAAAGGTTTACCCTTTTTCTAGATGTCTTTGAAGCTTAATAAACTTCTATAACACATGAGACTTAGAGGAATATAATGCATTATCAATAGGCAAATTTGTTCCTCTTGGTAATATTATATTATTTCTTTTAGAGTCTTCATTTAATTTTGTACCACTAGATATAATACTAATATAAGCTTATTTCCTTACTAAATTTGAACATTATCTTATATCATTGAGAATTGCATGCATTGTAGCATTATTTCTAAGGCATATATCCGCATAATTAATGGGTGCCAACCGAAAAAATAGCGATTCTTCAAAATATTAAAAATACACTATGTAAAAACATAAATTCCAATAAAAATATAAACTTTGACTTAAATTAATATTCCAACATAAACACAATATTCTAGAAATGTATAAAACATAAACTTTCAATAAAGAATACATGAAATTAAAATGTTTATTAATATTATGCAACATAAATTCTATTGACTATAATTTTCAGGATTATAGAAAAGAATTTCTTTAAAGATGATAAAGCCTTTTAAATTGTTAGCCTTTAAGGCTATGCCATTTTGCAACAATAAAAGGGTTTATTTGTGAAAATTTTTAAAAAAAATTATAAAAAATATAAATTTTTATTATTTTGGGATATCAAGATATCAAAATATTTGTTATTTTATGTAGAAGCTAATGATAAAAAAATAAAAAATGAAATTAAAAAGTTAGAGCATTATAATGGACATTAGAGAAGAGCATATTAGAGGCTCCTAGCCCATTTTTTCAAGGTAACTCCTTTTTATCACTATTCATTTACTATTTTTTTAAAAGGCGTTGTCTTGTGTTTACAACATCACCTAGTGTTTTGGTTCCGTCTTTATTTATTTACTTATTGCCTTAATCATGTTAACGATTATTTTTTAATTATAAAAGCTTAATGACATATTTGTTCATGATAACAAGGCTTAATGACTTGCATATAAATTATGACACTATCGAATTTCTTTGAAGATTGAACTTATAATTACCTCTTCAATAATAAGTTCTGGGAAAAAATGCCTCTTTAAAAGATGAGTGACCATAATTCTTTCAATTTGGGCAAAATGAAATAATGGTCTATGATCGTTTCCTAATTAAGAAGAATAATGTTTTTGTAATTTTTTTTATTAAGATAAACTTGAAAAACTAAAAAATTCATTATTTCTTTTTACGTTGAATCTAACGGGGGCAATTGCCCTAACAAGCAAGGAAAATGTTACACAACAAAACCCCAAAAAATTATATATGCCCCCCTTAAAAAATTTATTTGCCCTCATCATTTTTTAAAAATTCACTTGCCTTTTACAAAAATTTCCTTATCCCATATAAAATTTGATGACCTAGAAGACTTTATCTCATTGAAAGATAGTTTTTTATTTTATTATAAGTTTGTATTTTATGCATTGTATTGTTTTTGGTATTTAATTTTTTTGTTATATCCTTACTATAATTCTGTAAAAAATTTTAAAATATTTTTATAAAAATATAAATATAAATTTTAAATATAAATTATGCCCTCAGTGACTCAATTTCTTGGATCCGTCACTGCATACAAGCACCCCTTTGTGCGCATACATACATATACACATATATAAAGTTACTTAAAAAACAAATAGTGAATAATAATAATTTTACGAATACAGGGGAAAATTTTTTTATCTAATTTTCGATCTTCATAAGGATATGCTTTTTTTTTTTTGGTAATTTTGTATAAAGTTCTTCAAAATTTTGGGTCATGTACATAATTCAAGGTTTGCTTTTTTTTAATGTTAGATTCTTCGGAAGATGGAAAATCTTGATGTTCTCAGGGACATCGTCACAATATAACTTCTGATGATACGCTTCTTTTTCAGGTTGGGTCGGCTCAAATGGCAGAGATAGTAATATCAGTTATTGCCAAAGTTGCTGAATATTTAGTAGATCCAGTGGTACATCAAGGGAAATATTTGTTCTATGCTAGTAAAATCACAAAAACTCTTGAAACAGGGAAGCAAAAGCTTGAATAAGCTTAATGTGAAGTGCAGAAACGTCGTCAAGAAGCAATGATTAAAGCTGAAAGAATTGATAATGCGGTTAGGAATTTGTTAGATGGAGTGAAAATGCATATGGATGAGGTGCAAAAATTGGAACAACAAATGAAAGAAAACAACAATTGCTTTCAAGGGAGGTGTCCAGATTATTGGAAGAGTTATTGTTCGGGAAAAATGATGGCAAAAAAGATAGAAAACACTAAACAACTTGTTCAAAGCAATAATTTTGATCCCTTTTTTGTCATTGGGGAAATTCCAGATATGGAGTATTTCTCTTTTGGTAATTTGGTGTATTTCCAGTCTACAAAGTTGGCTTCAAATGAACTTTTGGGAGCTATCCAAGATGGTTGTGCCCACATGATTGGATTGTATGGAATGGGAAGCTGTGGTAAAACAACCTTGATTAAAGAAGTTGATAAAAGGGTCAAGAAATCAAAACTCTTTGAGCGAGCCATACTTACAACTGTCTCCCATAATCTAGATTATAAAAGGATTCAAGATGAAATTGCAGACACATTAGATTTGGAATTGAAAGAATAGAGTGAAGTTGGAAGAGCAAGACGTTTGTCAATGAGATTGAATAGTGGGAAAAGGATACTCATGATATTGAATGATGAATGGGCAAAGATTGATATTAAGGATATCGGTATTCCTTTTGAAGATCATCATGTTGGTTGCAAGGTATTTCTTACCACAACATCAACAAGTATGCATTTTGATAGATTGTGAGAGGAAGATCCATTGGATCTCTCATTTGAAGAGAAATATTGGACATTGTTCCAAAAGCATGCTCATATTGTAGACAAATCATTACATGGTGTGGCACAAGAAATTGTTGGGGACTGTAAAGAACTTTCCATTGCAATTTAGGATGTAGGAGCCTCTTTGAAAAGAAATTCGATAGAAGAATGGAAGGAGGCACTAGGAAGATTGAGGGATTCAAAACCTGTCAGAGATGCTTTTTCTTGTCTTGAGTTGATCTATGATTGAGCCATGAAGCCAAGTCAATCTTTTTTATGTGCTCCATATATCTAGAAGATGCAAATATCTCCATTGAATTTTTGTTCACAATTGCAACTGGTTTGGGCATGTGTGAGGAAATGGGTTCACTTGAAAAGGTGAGAAACAAAGTGAGTGCCTGTATAAATAATTTTGTAGATTCTTGTTTGTTAATGAGGTTTGAGAAAGAAAAGAATTACTTGAGAATGCATGACACAATTGGAGATGTAACATTGTGGATATCATCTCAAGAAAATTGTACTATTATATTGAATCTTGAGAAGGATACGAAGGTAGCAAGAAATGAGTGAATAAAAGGTTGCCATGCATTCACTTTTTTGTACAATCAAACATCTCAATTTTTTCAACGATTAGATACTTCAAAACTTTAGATGCTTCAAAACTTGAGATTTTGCTGTTAAAAATTATATATATACCTGAATTATCAAAATCAAATTTTAGAGGCATGGGAGCACTCAAGGTTATGCAAATTGGCTTTGAAGTTTATAAAAAAGTCGACTTGTCATTATCAACATTTTGAATGTTGGCCCGGGCTGGCCAGTCTGGCCATTACCCAAACACTACATCAGTTTGGCTTGGAACTTTAGACCGTCTACGGGTTGAGCCAGTTTGAGCCGCCTAGAATTGGGTTTTGAGTCCGAAGTCGGATTTAAATTGGAAACCAGAATGGTTTGGAGAGAACCGGTCATCCAAAAAAGGAGGACATAAAGGGGGAGCAGAAGGGAAACTGAAAATGAAAAAAAAAAAGAAAAAAAAGAAAAAGAAAGCAAACGGAAAAGATGGAGGACATGATAGTACGGAGGGGGAAAAACTGATAAAAAAAGAGATAATAAATATCATAAACTGTTTGGTGAACGAAGAAAGCTCCAGTCTTCAAGAGTTACCGTATCTTTCTATAACTCAGACAAAGCTAGTGAGTACTTGTAGAAAAGCTGAGAGCCTGAGAGGCTGAAAACCCAATCGGTACTCGTAAGGAGGACTGTGATGAAAGAGAGCCGGAGAGATTGGATGGAAGATAGGAATTAGCTTGGGGAAGCATTAATGAAAGAGAGTATGAAATGAAAAGTTGGGTTTGGATTTCACAAATACTTTTCATCTTTGTCAGAGAAAGAAAGCCATCTTACAAAGGCATAGGGTTTTTTTTAGTTTTATTTTTTTAATTAAAACAAATAAATATTTTTAAATTCTATGTTTGCCCACGTTCTTTTTTTCGAAAGTATGAACGAATTGAATTGATATATGCATCTGGCACCTCTTCACCTGTTAATCTTAATTAATAAAATATCAATTAATTGATTCAAAAATAATAAGATTACAGTTTATGATATTATTGATTTATAGTTATGTAACACTATTTTATTAAGAAATAGATATATGGTAAACTTATTTCTTACATATATAGTATGTGTATAATGCATTAAATTTTATTTTTATTTAATTTATATTTAATTATTACATATCGGTTCGACCGATGATCTAATAGGTTAAATTATGTAAACTGCTGACCTTTTTGGTTTAATGTTTGATTTGATTTTTAAAAATTGATCATTATTACCACACTCTTAATTTTATTCTAACTAATCTACAAACTCTATGCTTGCAATATTGTCGATTAGGTGATAGTGATAATTGGTCATGGTGCTAGGCCTCAAAAGATTTGAAATTCTTAATTTGAAAAGAAGTTTGTTTAAGGAACTGCCACAAGGATTAGAAGAGTTGAGTAAATTGAAGCTGTTATATTTATATTGGATCAAAGAGCGAAGTTTTAAGATAGTTAAAAGATGCATGCATGTAGAAGAATTATATGCTTCACAAATCCAGCTAAGCAGAACAATTTTAAAACTTGGTAAATGTTTTTCAAATAATGCGACTTTTCTCATATTACAGAGATATGAACTTCACATTGGGAACTTTGATGGAAGTTATAGTTATGAATGTGGCACTTTCATGGGTTGTCACTCCAAGGGTTTGTCCTTGGGAGAATTAAAAATCATTGCTTTCAGTCCATTTATAAAGGATCTTTTTCAACGAGCTGAAGTTGTTTGTTTAAATAGACTTGATGGAGGTTTCAAAGATATTGTACCAGACATCATTTAGGGTGTAGGAAAGATGAATGAGTTGGTTAGCTTGTGGCTTGATTCTTGTTCAAATTTAGAATGCATTGTAGATGTCACTTCCCATAATGTTGATTTGTTTCATGCAGAAACTTTGTTTCCAAAGCTAATTGAGTTAAATTGAAGTCTTTGATCAATTTGAAAGAAGTTTGGCACGGTTTACCTTTGCTTTTCTTCTTTGAGAAATTGCAAGAATTGCATGTACCTCATTGTCCTATGTTGACATCACTAAAGTGTGTTGTCGGAGTTGTGTTGTTGTTACAGGAGCTAACTATAAAAAGTTGTGGTGAATTGAATCATATAATACATGAGGATTGTGATGGTACTAGCAATGAAATAATTTCAGGTTCAAACAATGCACATTTGGTGTTCTCACAATTAAAAAGGTTGACCATCGTTGATTGTGATAAGTTAGAATATGTATTCTCAAACTCTTGTGTTCAAGGCCTTGTGCAGTTAGAGGCGGTGTGCATTAAGAGGGCTTCTCAACTAAAATACGCTTTTGGTCAACATAAGGATAATCATTAAGAGGTTCAATGGAGCTTCCTATTCTTACTTAGACTTAACTGCTTGAATGCTCAGCATTTTACCAAAAAATTATCATTCAAAGTTGCTCATGTTTGAGAGGATTTTCTTGGGTGGAGTGTCCCAAATTCCGAGCTTCATGTGTTAACATCATGGTTGGTTCAAATATAAATATGGTATGCATTTCCATATGCCTTCTATCATATTATTTGAAAGAATTTTCATTGTTATTTTTATAATATCTATGAAAACATTGCAAATTAAAAAGTAAGATAGCTATCTTATTTTGATTTGCTAAATGTTGTAATTGTAAGGCAATCAGGTATATAATAGGGTTTTAGTTTTATTACGTTTCTCAATTTAGAGAATCTTAATGTGACTATATGTGGCGTGAAAGACATTCGATTTCCAATTGAAATGGATATTTGTACTAAAACGAATTCCAAAAACAAGTTAATCTTACCCTTAGACATTTTGTCATTGACAAATTTGCCTGAGCTAAGGTTTGTTTGGAGTGGTCCGATGGGAATGCTGAGCTTCCAAAATCTTAGATTCTTCACAGTGAGTGGGTGCGACAATTGGAGGACTATTTTCTCCGCTCTAATTCTAAGAAGCATGCATCTGTTGGAACGTCTTGAAATATTAGATTGCAATGAGTTGGAGGAAATAATGTCTGGTACAGACGTAGGAGAGTAGCATCAAGGCCCATTGGACGCTCAATCCCCACAAGCATGCTTTTTTCCAAATCTGACATGGCTTGAAGTTCAGAGATGTAGCAAGCTGAAATGCTTATTTTCAGTAGCCATGAATTGGAATGATGTCTCAGAGGATGTGTTACCCAACTTAAGGCTCCTAACATTGGAACAAGTGCCAAGTCTGAAAGATTTTTGTCATGGTTTATTCCTTTCCAATGACCGCCTTCTCCAGGTACTCATATTTTTGCTGATCATTTTGTCTTCTTTATATTTCTTTTCTTGCTGCGCTCTTCTTTGCACCTCAAGTGATACGTGAGATTTAGAAATATTAGGGAGAATTAGGGATATAAGAGTAGTTGGGTATTTAGTAGGAAAAATTAATCATTTAATTCTTATATTTTTGACTTAGTTATAACTTAATTTTTAAATTTTAATTCATTATAACTTAGTCTTAAAATTTTGATTCGGTTGTATATCAATTCCTGAATTTTGACTCTTATAATTTAGTCTTTGAAATTTCAACCTTTTAAATATTGGTCTCTATATTTTAAAAAATAAAATTATAAAAATTCAAAAGATTTTAAAATTTATTACTAATATTTTAAATTATTAAATCCCTTTTAATTTTTATAAATATTATAAATATTAAAATTTTAAAATATTTTTAATTTTTATAATTTTATTTTTTAAAATATAGGCATCAATATTTCAAAGATTGAAACTTTAGGGACTAAATTGTAAGAGATAAATTTTAGAAATTGATTTATAATCGAATCAAAATTTCAAAAACTGAGTTATAACGAGTCAAAATTAAAAGACTAAATTACAAGTGGGTCAAAACTACAAAGATTAAAAAATTAATTTTTCCTATTTAGTATATTCTCTATAAATAGGCCTTTAGGTTGAAATAAATGGGTATGAATGAAATTAAACTTTCTCTCTCTCTCTCTATTCTCCTTCTGCCTCTCCTCTATCCCACTCTTTCTCTTCTAGCTCAATATCAGAGCTTGAAATCATTAAGAGTCGCATGAGCGTGTCTATCAATATTTTAACCCCCCATTGGAGTTTCAAAATCTTAAAAGCAACTATACTCACAAGCACAGACGGGTGTAGTTGTTCTGAAATATCTACCCATTTTCAATTATTTCTAAATATTTATTTGGAAATTAATTCTCTATTTGATTCG